GGGGAGACCCTGTCCCCTCCCAGCCCCTAAGCAGACTCGCTCACACACTCCCATCCGCTGGGGGCACAGATGTGGGGCTGGGGGCAGAGAGCGGGGCCGGATCAGCCCTGTGCCCACTCTCCCCTGCGGCTGGGGCTGGGACAAGGGGACAAGGGGGTGGAAGGGCCGGGGCGCGGTGGAGCAGGGACGCTTTCTGCCGTCAGACCCCTTGGGGGCTGGGGCTCTGCTCCGAGCCTCACCCCAGTCTGGCTTCCAGGGTGCAGGGGGAGTGCGTGGCCGTGGCCGTGGTCTGCGAGAAGACGGAGAAGGACGGGGAATACTCCGTTGCCTGTAAGTGGGAGCCAGATTCTTCCCTGTCTGACAGCCAGGAATTCCCTCCTGCCAGGGCTGTGGCCACTTTCTGGTGAGCACTGATTTAGGGGACTTTATGAGCCCCCTGGCAGCTTGACCCCAAAGCCAGAGGACTCTGCCCGGCACCAGTGCTGCAGGATCTCCCGGACCACCCCCTCCTGGGAGGCCCCTGGCCCAGGCTGCCGAGGAGGCAGGTGCTGTGCTGGGGCTCCGGGGAGGCGAGCCACGGAGGGGCCATCGGGGGCTGCAGGTGAGATGGGCAGGGGACCACAGTGCCGCTGCTGCCCACGCCTGTCACAGAACCCGGGGGATGGCGGGGCTGGGGGTCAGGGCAATGCTGAGCGCGTCTCCACACAGATCGGGGGGAGAACAAGGTGCTGGTGTCGGAGACCGACTATGACCTGTACGTCACCTTCTACCTCCAGAACATCAGGAACGGCACTGAGACCCACGTGCTGGCACTCTATGGTGCGCCCCCCTCTGCTGGGACCCGTCCTCCTCCCATGTTGGGCCTAACCCTGGGGGGGTCTTGCCGTGGCCCCGAGGTTTGGGGAGGTGGTTCCCACCTGCTGGTTGTACCCCCAGATGCATTATTGGGGTGGGGTAGCTTCAGCATTCCACCCCCAGCCCTACCTGGCACAAACCCCCTCTCTCTGGCCAGGGCACGCCCCTCCCAGCCTCGTTACTGCCTGAGTCCCCCGCAGGCCTCCACACACATGGTCCCAAATCTGTCCCCAGGACGGATCCCACAGCTGAGCCCCGCCTTCCTGGAAAGATTCGAAAACACCTGCAAAAAATATGGACTTGGTTCACAAAATATCATCAATATGATTGACCAGGGTAGGTCTGACTGCTCTTGGGACGAGAGGAACTGTGAGGAGGGGACGTTCTGGCTCAGCCCCCGCCCCAGCACAGAAGGTCTTGGGGGGATGCGGGTGGAGACCCCAGCGAGACCCCTTCTGAGAGCCCCTCTGTCTTCCCAGATCATTGCTACTCCTAGCGGTGGAGGCGCCGGCCCAGGCCTTCTGTGTGTGAGCTGTGGCTGGGGGCGGGGCCAGGGACGGCACTAGGGGGAGGTGGCTGGGTGGGGACATGGGGGGCCAATGTCAGAGGCCAGGGGTCGCAGCCCAGAATGTGGCACTAGCAGCCACTTCTTGAAGTCCATTCCCCAGGCCGTCTGCGGGGCTTTCCTGCAGAAGTGATGACGCACAGCCCTCAGTGGAAGATGACGTGCAACATACCACTGCAGTCTGTGTTTCAGTGGAGGCTGGTGGGTGGTCGGTTCCAAGCAGAAAATGAAATCTGGCCCTGCAGGAGCCTCTTGGGGCTGCTGCCGCAAATGCCCACGA